CCTTCCGTGTGTGGCCGTGTTCAACGCACGGCCGTGGCTGCCGGAGCCATCATCGCTCAAAGACACCTTTCCGCGGATTCGCATCGCATGGTACGCCGTTGCACGATTGGCCACGTCGTCGAAGTCCAACGCGACACGACCACCACTCGGCTTCTCGCACAGCAGTACAGTCTTGAAAGACCCGTAGTGTTTGTCGGGGAGCGACTTCAGAAAGGCGTGTGTCTTCCTGGTCGGGACGACAGTGTCGCCAAGAGCATCCAGCTCTATGCAGATGCGGCGTAACTCGTTAATCACGCGCGCAGGATCAAAATTGTCTGCAGCGAACACTTCGAGAGACCCGAAGTGGAAGGTCGTGGTACAACTTGGTGTTTTGTCAGAACGGTTAGAAAGATCAAAAGGGGGCACCGTAGGTAAGAGATAATTGATAGGTAGGTATGTACAACGAAAGTAAAAGAAAAAGGAAAGAGAGGTACCTTGCTCACAACAAAAAAAACATCTGAAAGAAAAGGCAATACGACAAGCAAACAAGAGGAGGAGTAGAAGAGAGACAAAGGAGGAAGAAGAAGGAAGCGAGTGTACGGAAGGGAGGAGACAGACAGAGAAAGAGAGCAATAGCATCGTCGGTTCGTTTTTTTTTTTTTTCGTCGGCCGACCCGGCGCTTGAGCGCGGGGTCCCATGCCGAACGGTGAGGCTTGGGACGGTGACACCGATGAGGCGCCACGACGAAGGGGAGGAAGAGCAAGGCAGACGGTGGGGGCCAAGGAATGGGAAAGGACGGGGGCCCGCCGCCGAGGGGCGGATGTGAGAGGAGGAGGTCGTCGAGCCAGGGTGAGAGACGGGTGACCAGCGTAGAGAGCACTGGGTCTCTGAGGATTGAATCACGTCTATCGCCGTCCGCAGGGGGGAGAACGCGCCACTCAAGACCTAGGCAGACGCGGTCCAACTCCCCAATGTTAGGTAGGCAAGCCCAGTCTACGTACGTCAGCCGCTGGGATCCGTCGCATACGCAGCAATTCACGTCCTCACAAGGCCACCACAACGATTCCCGCGCGCACGGCGGGAGTTCGTATGGTAGGGGGGCGGGAAGGAGGGGGGGGGATGAACACGTTGGGGCCCCGGGATCGGCGCTGACGGAACAGCGTACAATGGGCCGCACGGGGAAGAGATGAGAGCAGCGGGACGAGGGCACAGTAGGCCAGGTGGGGAGGTCGGGCAGCCGCAGCACTATCATCAACCAGAACAGCAGCAGCAGCCGCAGCAACAGCAGCAACAGCAGCAGCAGCAGCAGCAGCAACAACAGCAGATGCCACAGCAGCAGCAACAGCACCAGCAGAGACCGCAATACCAGGAACAACGGCAGCGGCCGCAGCAGCAGCAACTAGAGACGCCGCCGTCCCCCCAGCCGCGGCGGCAGGCGCAAGGGGCCATGAATCAGGAAGGCGTCGGCGGTGCGGTGGATGCGCCGG